TGTTTCTTTATGTTTGTATTTTTTTTCTGTATATATATATATATATATATATATATATATATATATATATATATATATATATATATATATATATATATTTGTTTGTTTGTTTATTTATTTATTTTTTCTTAAGGCAAAAAAAAAGGCAGGAAAAATTTTTTGTGAAAAAATTTCTTTTCTTTCTTTTTTTTTTTTTTTAGATGATAAATTGTAATTTTCTCCAAATACAAAGTTATTTGAAAAAATACATCAGTAGTATGCAGATGGTGCAGCACATGCTAACAAATGTTTCTAATTCACATTCAACAGAACTTTACTCGCCTTTTATCTGGTTTTAGCGTGTAAAACAGACACTTTGACCAGTTCAACACAGGAAATGCCGTTTCCTCTTCTGGGAGAATCCAGCAGCTTTTCGGGACAGAAAATCCACCCGATGTTTTGGGACTCTCTGAAGTCTGAGGTTTACGTTTGGTTCTCATGGAGGCTGGATCCTGTCCTGCTTCTGGAAGAAACCGACCGGAAAGGATTTAGGAGGTGTTACTGCATCAGCCATACATCCAGATTTAATATAATTCATTTAGTTTGAACTGAGAAGGATCATGAAATGTTTTGTTTTCTGGCCAATCAGAACAAACTGAACATGTGAAGCTGCCAGTTAATCACTGCAGTATTTTATGTAATGGGAATTTTTCTCAGTTCAGTTCACTTTATTTTGGTGAATTGTCAACATTAAACTCAGAAAACAAACAACAAAAAAACAATAAACAAACATAATTTACCAAAAAAGGAATATTCTAAAGCCAAAGCTTATACCCAAATTTTTTTTAAAGTAGGTTTTTAGGGGAAAAAGTCATTTTATTTCTAAAAAGATACTTTTAATTTCTCAAACTTAGAAATTTCCAAAGGCTTTTCTAGAAAATTTCAGTTGTTTTTTTTTTGTTTATTTTGTTTTGTTTTGACGAAAATTTACTCTTATTCTTTTTCTCTAACAGGCTGGAGCTAGACTTTTTTTTTTGTCTTCATGTTATAAAATTTACATACTGCAGCTGTGTAAAAAGTTTGAATTGAAAATGCTCCATGACGTTGCATTTTCAGGGATTTTTACGTGTGACTTTCTTATCCGCATTCAGGACGGCAAAGATTTAAAGCAATTTGTCATCATGTGTTTTTACTACTTTCCTAAACGTTTCCTCACACCTGACTGTTTTGGTGAAACGTCTTCAGCTCCAAAGCTGCAGCTGTGCTGATGCAGCGAAACGACGATCATCCCGCAGCTTCCAGGGAGAAAAAGAACTGAAAGTGGCAGCGCTCCAGATGTCCCTACAGGAAGCCACTGGGTTTGGTGCCGTTGGTTTTGGATCGCGCTCTGCAGCGTCTCTAGAGCCAGCAGGAGCCGTTTAGCTCTGGGCTGCATGGAGGACGCGGGCCGTCGGCGCGGAGCGATCCGAGCTGCTGGAGAAGTTCAGCTGCCAGGAGCCAGGAAGTGGAAAGAGGTTTGAAAAAAAAAAATGTGTTTGTGTTTGGAAAAAAAAATCAAAGTGAATTTAGTAACATCCCTGGACTTCTTCAGATGTGTGTGTGCAAAATTCTAATTCAGAGTTCCTTTTCCTTTTCTTCAGGCAGAGTGTTATTAGATTTCCTGCTGCTGCAAGAAAACTGAAAAATTCTCCTGGGAATTTAGAAAAACACAGCAGGTGAAATGATCTGAAGTGAAGCATCGAGTTCAGCAGCTGCATTATTTTAGATGTTATGTTCTAAATTGTTCCAGACACGATCAGATATTTAGCAAAGGTTCTCATGTGGCTCAGTTCACCACGTCAGAACCAAGTTTCATGTGCTGGAGCAAAAGGAAGTAACAGGATTAGAAATTGGAAAGATAATTATGATAATTTTCAACAGATTTTACAGATTGAAATCTGAAAGTGTGGCATTCATTAATATGCAGAAATGTTGGTATTTCTGTATTAGCTTAGCGTTTGTAGATATTGATATTTGGTCAACATTCTTTGCCAAATATCTTAATCTCAATCTGAATTACTACTGAGAGAATCGAGTCGGGTCATTTCATGTTGAGATGAGAGGATGAAATTAGAGCTTAAAATTACCCAAATTACAAAAAATAAAAAAAATTGATTTGCTTAATGGAAACACAGAAGTTTTAGGGGAAAAAACCCCAAAAAACCTCAGTGTTTTTGTTTTTGATGAAACATTTTGAATGAGCGTTTCTCTCCAAACATCTCAGCGGATGTTACTGCTGGTGAAAACAACAAAGACGACAGGAAGTGGAACGAGGATGATGGTGCGGCGTGTTTTCAATGACTTCTCGCGTAAACAGACTTATTCCTGTGATTTTAATTGCGTTTCTTATTTAATGGAAGCGCTGCAATCACAAAATTATGATTATTTTTCCAGACAGAGTTTGGCGCACGTTTGTGTCGTCTTCCCTTTTTAAATTTGAATTTGAATTTCAAGTGTCGAGCCAATAGGAAGTGAGCAGACTGGCAAAACCAATAAGCTGGAACAGAAAGGATCATTTTTAAAATCCACATGTTTTCTTTTCCAACCACTGCTCAATTATCCAGAGCTCTACTTTGGTACGTCACAATAAAACACAACTAAAGACACTCTTTTTTTGTCTCTGTAACTGTCTGCAGAGCTCCCTCCCCAGAAAGCTCAACCACAGTGGTTTCCACTGCTTTTTAATCACTCCAGTACCATCCGTTCTGCCCGCTGGGTTGGGTTAGATGATACAAACAGCCGCAGCAAAACGGATCTGCTGTCTGGAGATTTCCTGAAGGGTCACTGAGGTTTTCTGAAGCTGCAAACAGCTGACAGATTGATGGGGAGTCCTGCAGGGTCCTGTCGTCGGCTGGTGTACTTCATCATCAGACCACACAGATACCAAGAGATTAATTTGTTATTATGTGGGGATTGTGTTGCTTTTATCAGCCCTTTATCACTCCAGCACAGCTGCCTTTATGTGGCAGGATTATTTCTCTCTGTTATAAATTAAACACCTTTCAGAAAGTTGAACCAACAGCAGAACTGAGCTGACAGACAGCCGGGTTGTTTTCCATGTTAGCTTTAAGAAATGTCACTTCCCACAAACAATGGCAGCCTTTAGTGCTGGTTTGTAAAATTGACTTTTGAATTTTATGTCAGGTTATATATAACATTACTCATCAAAAACACACCTGGACTGTTGCTTTGATTATCTCGTATCTCTGAGAAATCCTTTAATCTCCATGGCAACCATTCAGCTGTGCAAAGCGCCTGGATGGACTTAGTTCCACCTTCGAGGACGAAGATCCTCCTTGGAGCTGCAATTCCCAAGCTGCACAGTTTCTGTCTCACCCACGCAGCTCCTTCAGACTAGCCAGCAGCAATTAGCAAATGGCAGCTGGAACTGGGCATCAGCTGAGCTCATTGTAGGAGCTTCTTCTCACTGAAATGCTGGTGAAAAAAAATGTTGTTAAAGGGTTAAAAGAGTAGCCAAGTTGTGATGATTTCCTGAAGGCGGAGTTTCAGAAAGAGGAGGAGTTTCTTAAAGAGACAGAGGCTCAATTTCAAGGCGTCAAATTGCAAAGTAATAAAGTCATATATGAGCATTCGTATAACAACATAGTTACTTATTCATGCCACAATATGTGTATACATGCCACAATAAAAAGTATACAATACTTTTTATTATGTACTAATAATTAATATGTACTAATTATGTAATAATTCCTTTAATTAATATCATTATTAATGATTATTAATGAAAATCCCATGTTGGACTCAGTATTGGGACAATTTTTGTCCCCCAGGTTAACTGTTCAGTCTAAAAATAAATAAAACAAACATTACCTTTAAAATCAGCCAAGCGTGTTCATCTAAATGAACATTTTTTCCACCATCTTTCCTCAACTCCAGATTTATAATATTCTCAAATTGCAGCTGCAAACGGCCCCCAGGCTGCACTCAGGACACCACTGGTCCAAAATAACTCGGCTTTAACTCTGGATGATTTGTGTCATAAACGCAACAGGGATTAACGTCATCATTAATGGATGCATAGCAGTCAGGATGCTAACAGCAGAGAGGTCCCTGCAGGCCGGGCTGGTGTTTGTGCTCCCGACTGCACCATCCGGTTGCCGTGGGAGATGAGTCACCTTCCAGCAATAACACTGAAGCTAAAATAATAGCAGCTTTAAGACAAAAGTCTCCGGCCCCAACGCTTAGGACCGAATGGACTTCCGGATGCCACTTCACATTCAATAATGTCAGCGCTTTGGGGAATCTGCCAGAGGAATCGTCTGTGTGAAACTTGAGACACGAAGATGTGAGGATGAAGGTTTTAAAAGGGAAAATGTGTTTTCCAGCCACACAGAATCCTCTTACAGCACAATAAAGATACTGAGTTACTGAGTTGACCTTCAGTTTTTAGAAAAACTGAAGGTAACTTTTATATCATATATCAAAAGTAACTTAAAATAAATTTGACTTGGAAATTTAACACCTTGAAATTGGGCCTCTGACTCTTTAAGAAGCTGCTGCTCTTTCTGAAGCTCCGCCTTCAGGCAGTCATCACAACATGGCTCCTCTTACAGTTGAAAAACGTTCACATTTCCTCGCTGCCGTTGCTAACCCGTGTTTCGCTCATGCAAAGTGATGGAAAACCTTCTCCGACGTTCGTCTGCAGGAAACATCTTACAGTGCAACATATAGAAAAAATATATATTTTTATGCATCATTCTCTGAGCCGTTTTAATCACTGGCTGCAGGCTGGCTCTTCCTCTCTGTTGCAGTGCAGTCAGTGCGGACTGTTGTTTGAACCAGTAGCATCCAGTCAGCATGTTTGTCTAATCTACCTAAATTTCTTGCAAAAATGAATAGAAACCTGCGGCTCTCTCAAGTTCTTCTGAATGGACCTGACCTCTCAGAGGAAATCTCGGCAGGACACAGAAATCCGTCGAGGTTTTGTGGCGTACAAGGATGATTCATACCTTAGTAATTACTCTGGGATCGTTCTTTATCTGAGAGAAACACACACATGTATTTAATATTCAATAAGCAGAAAATGACATTTAGGTAATTCTGACTGCTGGTTACCATGGAAGAAATGCACATAAAGGTTGTCAGTTTTTTTCTCAGGCTAATTGTGTGCAACAATCCACTCAAGTTCCGCTAAATCCTCAAGCATGCCAGTTAAAACCTGGAGGTATTCCCCTTGAAGAAATCCTGCAAAGGTAAAGTCTTGCATCATTGAGATCATTTTTATGAATTTATTTTTGTGATTTCAGCTTACCGAGCTCAGCTCCTCCAGACTAGTGGCAGCAGCTGTTACCAAACACCTGGTGGAACTGCACGCCTGCTGAGTCCATCACACAAACTACTGCTGGTAAAAACAGTGTTAAAGGGTCAACAGAGAAATGTTGATGACTTCCTGAAGGCGGAGTCTCGGAAAGAGCAGGAGCTTCTTAAAGAGACGGAGGGCCAATTTCAAGGCGTTGAATTGCGAAGTAAAATTTCCTTCAAGTCATGTTTGGCATTTTTTATAGTAACTCACGGTAACATTATAAAATGGTTTTGTGTATCTGAAAAATACAAAAATCTTTTAGCGCTACAGTCTTTTTGGTGAAGGATGTGGGACAAAATGTACTCTCTTCTGAACTTTAAAACTTTTTATCACAGCAGTTCATCTTCAGTGTCCTGCTTTATTCTGGGATTCTCAATTATTTCCTCCAGTAAGTGATAATCAAAGGATTTTTTCCCCCCTAACATACCATTGAATCCATTGCTATTTTAAATAACTACAAAGTCATTTTTTCCTCTCTTATGCAGTAATTGTTTCCCCTAATGTAGAATCTGAATAATAATATCTGAATTTTCTAGGTGTTTCATCAGTATTTCCTCTTTCTTTATTTCTCCACATCAGATCAGATAAAACTTGCAGGCCAGCTGCTGTTCTGACCTGGTCCAACGTCTGTTCAGCTCTGCTTCATAAAACGGAGCATTTAGTTTCTGTTATGGCACTTAGTATTCTAGTAAGTAGCTGTAAGCTGTTTTAATGCTTTTATAAAGCATTAAAAACCCGACTTTATCCTGACTGGCATAAAGGGAAAGAATCCTGTTGTGTTCAAGTCGTTTTCAGAACTTGGACTTTTAGATTTCCAAGTCAGCGAAAACAACAGGAACACGCCTGGAGTCAGAATGGAAAACTTTGAGGTTACTCACCTCATCTGACCTCAAAATCCAACATGGCTGCCGCTAGTAGAGTGTGAGCAGCTAATGTGTTTATTTCAACATCTGGCTAATTTTGGTGAAAATGCTGCAGCAGTATTTGGATTTACACATTTTGGAAATATATAGTAGTTACCTTGCTAATGCTAATGCTAACTCCATTTAGCTTTAGCAAGATAATAATTTTTTATCTCAAAAATTTGCTCACAAAGTATTTAAAAATCTATGCGATTTTCAGCTGACTGTTGAAGCAAAGTTGAGTTAAACGTGACGACGCCAAGATCCATTTCTATTTCCCACAATTAAAATACCAAATTAAAATAACTTAAAAAAAAAAAAAAACTAATTAGGAATTTTGAGAATTTTGGTACTTTATTTTTAATGTCATGTTTTCTAAACAGCCTTCTCGCAGAAGGTTTTATGGTTTTCGGAAACTTCATTAAGCATTTTTAGAATAATTTTATTTTGTTCTTTAGCTAACAATTTTATGCTAAATTAAAAGTAGATAATTCAGCTCCATGTAAAGTTGACTTTAAAATAGTCAACATTGCCCTGCAAGAAAATAAACTCTTGGATTTGATAAATCTACGGAAATTCAGTGAGTTAGCAGAGTAAATACACTCCTGATCAAAATCTTAAAACCAGTCAAAAAATTGCAAGAATTTGCATTTTGCACTATTGGATCTTAAGAAGGTTCTAAGTAGAGATTCACAATGTTAAAGGAAAAAATCAGTGCAAGAGACAAAAACTTTTGACCGGGGAATTAATTGAGAACTGCATTTACACTCAAACATGATTTTTTCAGCTGATCAAAAGTTTAAGATCATAGCTCAAAAAACCCCTGAAAACCCCCCAAAACAGAAATCAAAGTGTCAAAAAAAAGGACTCAGTAATGAGTAGCTCCACCATTCTTGTTGATGACTTCAAACAATCGTTTAGGCATGCTTGATGCCAGTGTTTCCAGGAGGCTAGTGGGAACGTTGCTCCAAGTGTTGAAGATGGCTTCACGAAGGGCATCCACTGTCTGGAACTGATGTCCATTTTTGTAAACTTCCCTTGCCATCCATCCCCAAATGTTCTCAATTGGGTTTAGATCCGGGGAACATGCAGGATGGTCCAAAAGAGTGATGTTATTCTCTTGGAAGAACTCCTTTGTCAGGCGGGCATTGTGAACTGCAGCATTGTCCTGTTGAAAAACCCAATCATTACCCCTCAGTCATGAGGGATGCCCGCTGCAACATCTCCACATAGCCAGCTGCTGTTTGACGCCCCTGCACAACCTGAAGCTCCATTGTTCCATTGAAGGAAAACGCACCCCAAATCATGATGGCGCCCCCACCACTGTGCCGTGTAGAAAACATCTCAGGTGGGATCTCCTTGTCATGCCAGTAACGTTGGAAGCCATCAGGACCATCAAGGTTAAATTTTTTCTCATCAGAGAAGACAACTTTCTTCCACCTTTCAATGTCCCATGTTTGGTGCACCCTTGCAAATTCCAAACGGGCAATTTTGTGACGTGGCCTTTGAAGACGTTTTTTGTTTCTGAAGCCCTTCTCTCGCAGATGCCGTCTGATGGTTATTGGGCTGCAGTCAGCACCAGTAATGGCCTTAATTTGGGTAGAGGATCGTCCCGTGTCTTGACGGACAGCCAATCGGATCCTGCGGCTCAGAGCTGGTGAAATTTTTTTGGGTCTACCACTTGACTTTTTTGTTCCATAACCCTCAGGATCATTTAAAAAATGCAAAATGACTGTCTTACTGCGTCCAACCTCAGCAGCGATGGCACGTTGTGACAGGCCTTGTTTATACAGCTCAACAATCCTACCACGTTCAAAGTCAGTGAGCTCTTTTGCTTTTGCCATCAGTGAAAAGACTTGACAGAAAATGACATGGAATCCAGATTTTTGCACAGCTTTTGGCTTTTAAAGATTATGGTCTTAACTTTTGATCAGCTGAAAAAATCATGTTTGAGTGTAAATGCAGTTTTCAGAAAATTCCCTGCTCAAAAGTTTTTGTCTCTTGCACTGATTTTTTTTTCTTTTAACATTGTGAAGCTCTACTTAGAACCTTCTTAAGATCCAATAGTGCAAAATGCAAATTCTTGCAATTTTGTGACTGGTCTTAAGATTTTGATCAGGAGTGTACCACTGTTTAGTCTTATTGAAACTGCAACACAGGGGAAGCACAAAAAATATATCAGCTGACACAGTCAAAATAATGATGTTTATTTTTCCTAATTAACTGAAAATTCCTTCAGACGGAAGCTGCTGTGCTTCTGTTTCCACTGGCTGAGCGGCAAAAATCATTCATTATTCACGCATCGTTCATATATTATTTAAAGTAGATGCTGAAGTTGCTCCAATAGGAGTTGAACCAATACAAACGCAGGCAGGATGCGCTTCTGTGCTGCTTGAGCTCTGATCGGCAATTAAATCCTGCAGACCAACAGTGTATTTAATTCAAATTTACTTGTTCATAAAAAAATTAAAAGGAAAAGAAAATGCGCAGGGCATGCTGAAATAATAATGTGAAATTTGCGCAATGCAGAAGCAGCAGATTTTCTCTGTGACAATGCAGGCGAAAGGAAGTTAATGAAATTCAGGCATGGAGGATTAAAATCTGACTTTATTCCTCTGAATGTGGAGAAGGTAAAAGTTGCCAAAGTATTCAGGCCACTTAAAAATTTACATTTCTTTTTCTTTTTCATTTTTCAGCTATGACCTTGAATATGTTTTGTGGAATTTTCTATGACTGACCGACAACTTTGTGCATCTGTGACGTGGGAGGAAAACAGTTTCCAAGTTCCCTTTTACAACCAGAAATCTGAAAACTGTGACAAATCTTTGCATGTAGAAATTGCACAATCATAAAAAGTGTGTAATTCCATTTTAGTATAAATTAAGCTTTTCTGCGAAGATTTAGTTTTGCTAAAGAACATCAACACAAGCAGCAACATGAAGAACAAGAAACACAGCAGAGAAGAGAAGTCCGCGAGAAGGTTGAGTAGAGATTTACATTTGGGGTAAATTATAAAACAAAATGCCAATCTTTGAACATCAGATCTGCTCAATCTGAACATGGAAGGGGCGTAGAATTACTACAAATCTGTCAAGACATGGGAAAATTACGGCAAAAACAAAAAACACGGGAGAGCAGCAATGAAAAGGTCAAACGATATGATGGTTTCGTCCAACTGCGAAATTTCTGAGCGATAGGCAAAAATTTCAGCCTGGTCTTGTGTAAAGCTGGCAGAGGTGTATACTCCTGAAAACTGTGATATGCAACTTAAAAAAACAACCTTTTATATAAAAGGCGCAGTGTGTAGTTTTAAGAGTTACAGTTGGGGCTAAAACAAAGAAATGTTACAACAAGTCATTTTTCTTCTACCTTACATTTTCACATCGCTTTGTGTTGGTTTATCATGTTATTCTTGCAAAAACACATTTAAGTTTGTGGTTATAATGTGACACATCCAGCGACTCTACGGCTGAATGTGTGCAAATCCAGAGGAGGAAAAGATTTTATTAAATCCACTTTATTACATCTGTGCAACCTTTCAAACCCAAGAACAAGATTCCTTCAGAGGATACGTCAGTTTAACGTGCATCAGCCGGGCAACGACTGCAGCCTTTCCTTCATTGAACTGGGAATAAAATCAATGAAAGTGGAACAGTTCGGCTTTTAGCTCCTTTCATCCTTTGTGTGATGAAGACTGATGCTGCTGATCAAACTGGATGAAGACGGGAACCAGACAGACTTCACACGATATGACCTTTTGTTTCTTTTTCTGAGCGCAGACGGATTTGTAGACGTTGATAACATTGAAGAGTCACATTTACATGCAAAGGAATTCAAATCTGTACACATGAAGACAAACAGTCAGCAAAAAGCAAAGATCATCTTTGTGACCAATAATCTTCAAAATATTTCATGCCAAATTTCCATTTTTAGGTCACAGCTGCTCGAAAATAAATTGTGTAACATTTTTGCAATGAAACAATGTCACCTTTACAAAGCAGCTTAATAAATTTCCATGGTAACATAGAAACGCTCACTTATTGCTTTGACAACATCTGTACAGAAATTTATCGATTGTCTTTTTTTGACTTTTTTTTGCTGACGAGGAAATAAAAAATAGCTTTTTGATAAAATATAAATATAAATTTTAGTTTTACCTCCATGAAAAGAAAATCATAATAATAGTAAAAAAAACAAACAAAACAAAAAAGTTTCCTATTAAGTCTGTAAACACCAACTAGTAGAACAGATGAAAGTTTGGCCCGTCCAGCGTGGATGCAGACAGAGTCTTATTTGTAATCAGTGGAAATGTAAAATGTTAAGTAAAACACAAACTATTCATCTTTTCATAACCAAGTTTTGGTTATGAAAAAACTTATTGAATAAAGTTTTACTACTTATTGAAATTTTGATTTTGCTTCACCCAAATCAGCTTTAAATCCGTCAAACTCGGCTTGAATTTAGCTTTTAAAAGGAAGAGACAAATCCTGGTGTTAGAACTGAGGATACATTTACTCAATCGAGCAATCGAACAGAAAAGGTATGAATAGACGTCCTGCTTTAATCCCAAAAAATCTGAAAACCCTTAAAGCTGAGATGAAACAAAATGGCCACCAGAGATTAACTTCTCTGTTACGATTGGAACGTCGATGTGTTTACAAACTTAATTTTCTCTTAAACTGCGTTTTTTATGTCCTTGATCTGACTGAAAAAATTGTAAACTCTCAAATGACCGAGTGCTCCTCACACAGTAACAACTACCACACTGAAGAGTGTTGTGTTTTTTTTTAGTACAGTACATTCACAGATTGGAAAATGGCTTTTTTTTTTTTTTGACCAGTTAAAATGAATTCACATTATTGGATGATTTTTGGATGCATCTCAAATAAAAGGTAAATAAAATAAAAATAATTTTTCGTAGACTGATGGAGAGCTTTGTTAAGACAAGTTCAGGAGTTTTCCTTCATCCTACTTATATATCATGCATTACAGCACAAAAATCAAGGAAATTTGTGTTTGGTTGATCTTTCATCTTTGCTTCTTGGTAATGAATTTTATCTATAAAATAATTTGTAGGTTGATTCTAGTATCTGGGTTCCAGATCAGATCTTGACACGAGTGTCAGTTCTGCACCTCAACTCTCATTAGCCATGTTTCCATCCATCCACAAATTTTAAATAAAAATTTGAAAATGCTGAAGAAAAGAAGCTGAAAATTAGCTGTGTTCTCAGTTTCTGATTCTAAGCAAATCGACCCTGTCAGGCTAAGACCCGCCCCCTGGCTCTGATTGGTTGTTTCTGATAGAAGTGGTGTTTTTCTGCAGATGGCAGTAAGACCACGGGGAGGAAGCAGGGTCCATTTTTTTCCCACAGATTATACTGTAATGACACAAGGACAGTTTTAACAAAATGTAAGAAACATTTTTTTTAATAAAAGTGAAATTTAACAGGTCTCCCAAAAGCAAAAAAAAAAAAAACAACAAAAAAAACATTAATTTGTTACAGCAAAGGGAAAAAAATCAACCAAACCCAAGCTGTTTTTTTAGTTATTACTTTTGACCCTTAGTTTATTTTCAACAAGACAAAAAATACTTCAAAACACATATCTATATATACACCATGTTCTTTCTTCTTAAAAATAAATTATAAAAAAATATATATCCAAAAAAATCAATCCTGACTCGTAATTCTTACATCACCCGTGCTTCAAACCCAATAATCCAAACTTGATTATAGGAGGAATTTCAAATAATTCTGCATGCAGGATGACATAATATGAAACAAGATGAAGGTAGAGCAAAACAGAGAACATTTAAAACGGATTTGCTTTCTTTTTTTATGCCAGGAAGTTTAAGAGGAGGCCGACGTAGACGTGAAAAAGTCAAAAATGCCAACAGTTTATCGTCATTCAGTCACCGCGCAAAAAGGCCCAAATAGTATCGCAGCATCATCGTCTTCTCTCGCAAATAACGAAGAGTTTCCGATCTGTTCTCACTTGTTTCTACCTCCATTTGTTTCCTCTTCTCTTCGTTTCATTCTGTCAGAGAAACAGAAGACAGAGCAACGCGGTTAGCACCGAGGCTTTCAGCTCATTCACAATATCACAGATATTATTGGAAACGGCAAACGGGTTAAAAATAACCAGGAAGTCGGTATCAGTTCCCACGGAGACTGAGTGAGGTTGGCACATCTAATTACATTTCTTTTAGTAAATACACATACAGAACTCAAGCGCCAAGAAATCCTTGCAGCAAGAATAATGAGAGAACTTCAATGATGATAATAATAATAATAATAATAATAATAATAATAATAATAATAATAATAATAATAATAATAAGGATTCCTCCAGTTTGCCAGTAATTTTTTTGTTTGTAATCAAAAATCACTGATTTTGTGGAGCCAGTTGAAAAATTAAAAGAAGCTTTGAGACATTGATGGTAAATGTAACTTTGTTACTCTCCAAATAACTGTACCGTACAACTGTCCTGTACAAGTGAGGCTGAGTGGAGCAGAAGTAAGACACACTGCCACCTTCAGGTTGATCATCACATTAAACCCCCAATGTTTTTGAGCAGTTTTGCATAAGATTTGCAAAAAACTCACAATTATGCATTAGTGCAAAAAAGAAAACGCCGGGATCTGTCGAGTTTGCATGAATTTCTGCGAAAATCTGAAGGGAGTGATGAGTGTAACTTGGCAGTAAACAAGTAAAACCTGCTTTGATCTGATTGATAAAATAATCTAGAGAGCATAGAGGGCCACATGAGAGCCCACGGCGGGCTGGATTTGGCCCCGGAGCCTCATGTTTGACAAATGTGCCATAGTTCATATGAAGCATAGTTAGTATTTTCTCAGTTCTGCACATTTAGCTGATGATGACTTTTTTGTAGCTACACCTCTGGGAGACTTTGGGCCACTTATCTGTAGAAGATAAGTAGAGAGGGTCAGAAATTAATGTGATATTATTAAATTGAAGAACTCTGAGGTGATTTATTTTATTTTTTCGTTTTAATACAATCTGGAGAAGTCATCTTGGTGCTGCAAGATTTCAAAGAGCCAATTTATGCCGACTAAATTAGCCGTGCCAATCCTGAAAGAAGAAGAAGAAGAAGGAATATTCGGTTGCAGGGCCACATTCTGGTGGCGTCTCCAACGAAACCTGAGAACTTTTTGTTCTCTTCTGCCTCAAAGACGAGAGGAGGGGAATATTAATTTGAAGTTCCAATGTTATATGTTCAGAGAAATTTGAATTTAATCTGCAAAGCCTGTAAAGACCAGGAAGGAACTAACAACTGAGCTTTGAACTCCTGAGGAGAAGAACTGTGGTTCTGTTCTGGAAAGTCAGAATCTTAATATGCATTTGATCATCTGATGACAAAGGCAGATTTGACGTTTTCAGAACATTTTTCACAGATATAAGAAATATAATTCATCTCCAGTGATGATGGAAAATATGCCTTTTGTTCCCTGGCATTGGCTTCTGTTTTCTAACTGTAATATAACTTTGTGATAATTGACAAATTATGCATAAAAGAATTGCTCCTTTCAAAGTACATATTATTAATATTATATGAGGGGAATGTTTAGTGTTGGTCTCGTGTTCATTGATTCATGAGGAACTGGAGCAGGAACAGATTCAACAGTCACTATGAAGGATGAAGAAGAAAAGAATGGAGAAGATTTTTCTGACAAAATTAAACAATCACAGGGCTGAGAAGAACGTTTCCTTGGAAACAAAAGGTTCCCGAGCGTTTTGCTTTTCCTAATTTCAGCCTTTTTTCCACACTCAAATTATTTTTTTGATGGGTAAAATTTGAATGTAAAATGAATTATCACAAGTACTGCTGGACACCAGGGATGGCAGACGGTTTTTGATTGCATTAATGCCAATGAAAGGTTTTCTGCAACATTCCTTCTTAAAATGGCAATAAATAAATTATTTCAAAATGGCGCTTGTACATTTTCATATAGTCTTTTGGAAGTAACATATTTCCAGCTTTTTGAGCTCAATCCACAATTCTTTCCAAAGAACTAAGATCTGGGATTTGTGACGTCCACTTAGAGAGACTGACTGTTTTTCAACTTTTTGCAGATGCATCAATTTAGTTTAAGAAAACATGAGGGGGTCATATCTTCACTCTGTAGCAGCGTCTGAGTTAAATAAATATATGTTCATAAACTTTAGGGCAAACACTGAGCTACAAACTTTAGATTCCCATCGGAGCAAAACATGGAAGTGGAAAAAAGTCCCTTTACTTTAATATTACAGCCCGAGTATTGAACTGAGCCCATCTTCGGCCCCGGGGCCGTCTTTAGGTTTAAAGCTGCTTCCTGAAGGAAAGCAAAGGCAGCTCTGGAATATTTTAGCAAGTCAGTATTTTCTTGCTCTCTTCAGTTCGCTACACCTTCAAAAACGTTTCCATATTGTTTTCCTTCTTACTTCCAGACCTCCATCCCAGTTACTGAAGAAAATAAACTCGGCTTTAAAAATCTGTGTGACACATTTTAAATGTTTCCTCAGTAAACTGGGACGGTTAAACCTTGAACAGTAAATCTCGGCACATTCTCCCCTCATTGTGATGAAGTGTTTGGTTGCTGTCTGAGCCGATGAGTTTAAGCCTCTTACTCCTCATTTCCCTTCTTCATAGATGCGTGATAAAAGAAAACAACCGCTTCGATCTTTTATTGGCGCTTACACACACACAGCTTGGCACATCCTCACTAATAACTCTCATTATTAACTTCCTTGCTCTGAAATAACATTTTTATCATTCCCAGCTTTTTATTTGGATCTCGTTGCTTTTACACCTGTTAGAGCAAAGCTGATGTCAAGAAGGAATCAAACAGGATTTTATGTGATAGACTGACAAAAGGTTAGTCTTTTAAATAAATACACTGCTCAAAAAAATAAAGGGAACACTCAAATAACACATCCTAGATCTGAATGAATGAAATATTCTCATTGAATACTTTGTTCTGTACAAAGTTGAATGTGCTGACAACAAAATCACACAAAAATCATCAATGGAAATCAAATTTATTAACCAATGGAGGCCTGGATTTGGAGCCACACACAAAATTAAAGTGAAATGTTCCCTTTATTTTTTGAGCAGTATATATAAAAAAAGGCTGGTAGCACAATTCCTGTTGTTGATATTAGAAGCAGATTTTGCACATGAATTTATGGGAGAGCTCCTACAATGACCATTTCTTGTTGCGTTCATAAAGGAAAACTTTTCCTTTTTTAATTTTGTAATTGCAACAGTGAACGGATCAACTCCAGAGCTGCAAACCTCTGGCCTAGTTAAAGTCAAGGCCTGAATTTGTGGCAGTACTTGAATTTTGACAGATCTTTATTTTTATTATTTATTCAATTGTTGTTTTGTTGAGGAAAATGAGATCATCTTTCAGTCTCTGGATGTCCAAAGCTGGTAGAAATACAGAATTCTGCAAAAGACTTTCAGCTGAAACTGAAAAAAAAAAAAAATCTGAAAATAATCTATAATCTTTATGATTTCTACTTCATAAAATCTTCTTGAAACCTCAACAAAACAGACAGCATGTGAAACCAACATGTGTAAATTAGCAAAACACTCCAGATGTGATTATTATTTGATTCTTTGACCATTTTATTTGGCTGTAATTTCATGGAATTTATTTACATCATATAAAAACCCTTTTGGTTTATTGGTGGAGTTAAGTATGAGTCTATATATAAAAAAAACTCTGTTAATTCTCACCAACAGATCTGTTGGTGAGAATTAACAGGGTTTTTTGTGCGAAATGGTGTTAAAATAACTGCTTTCTTTTTCTGCTCTTTGCATCATCTGGAAGGTGAAATAACCATCCAACGCACATAAAAATATCATTTTTTACTTATTTTCTGTTGTGCTGGCAGACTTCACATGAAAACCACTTTAGCAAAGTAAACAACATGCAGCTTTTCATTCAGCGTCTCTTCTCTCCTCCCCTCCTTTCATTTTCTCCATTCAGCTCTGTAAACCAACACTGCTGCCGTCTGCTCTGATTTTAAAGGCCGCTCCGGCGCTCTGCAGCTTTAATCGCCGTCTATTCACTTCCATGTTTGTTCCGATGTTTGTGTGACTTCCTGCTCATGGGGACTCCACCTGCAGACTGAGCTGCTCCTAAAGGGAATCCCTCCATTATACAATAAACGGCGTCATATCGAGCCGTTCAGTCCGGACCGCCTCCACCTCAATTAGGCTTTGAAATTATTTTCGGAACGTGGAGAAGCTCAGACTTCAATCAGGGAACATTTTGAAAGCTGATCGGCCCAATCAGCCCTTCGCTCTCCTCCAATTAACCTCCTAATTGATCTGATTCAGGATGGATAAGTGAAAATAGGCCGTGTTGATGTTAATGACTTATTATTGTCTGAATTGGAGACGGGGAGCTCAGGACAGCTGTGCTGCATCTCTTAAATATCATAATTTTAATCTAAAGTGTTTTTCAAAATGCTGTCATGCGTAGCAAAAAGGAAAATACAGTGTAGAAACTACTTTAGAGTTAAGATAAAGATCTACATCCCCTAGAATATACAAAAGTTGACAGCTGTTTTTCTAATGCCGCCCGTGCCAAATATTAGCACGAAAAGCTAAAGACGGTTAGCATAAAAAGTTAAAGACATTGTTGCCTTTTATGCTAACTCATTTGTCTGTCTAACATTAACAGCTTAACTGTTAGTAAGCTAAATATTTACCTCCAGTCTTAATGTTTAGCTAGTAAACTAAATATTTAGTTACCAAGGTAAATATTTAGCTGCATTTTCAATATGTTTAGTTAGTAAGCTAAATATGTAGCTTCAAGCTAAATGTTTAATAAGTGAGCTAAATATTTAGTTTGGAGGTCTGATATTTAGCTCAGAGCTAAACATCTAGCCAAGATACAAGAGGACTGTCAAAATAAAAGCTGGGTTTTGCAAACTTCTAAATATTTAGCTCTGGGATAAATATTAATTCGGAAACTAAATATTTAGCTTGCTAACTGAATGCCCAGTTAGCAAGTTTGCAACTG